ATACCCCAGAAAAACAAGTCTAGGACTATACGTCCTCCTAGCACCAAAAACAATAACCTAGATTAGAGCTTATAACATAATCACGACAATAGAAGATATTCGCAGAAAAACCCCATAAGCGTTGGAGCCATCTATTCTCACTAGATGGGACCAAGCCTCTACATAAATCCACTCGTGTACAAACAGAAAAAATAATATCTCGAATAACAACAAATTCATGTTTAGGAGTCACACCATGGGCCCTAGCATCATCCTCAAGCCAAATAGCATAAATCGAAGCCGCAAACATCAAACGAATAACAATGGACCGCAATGACCTCCCACGAAACTGTTCCATCCAAGAAAGAGTATCTGACCAACTCCGTTGAACCCAAGACAGGTTAGATTTTGCCTGCAAAGCATGCCAAACACGTTCAGAAAATGGGCAAGCAAAGAAAAGACGATCCAAGTCCTCCTCCGAACATCCACACAGCACACAACGTATATACTGTACCAAACCAAAGTAAAACATCTTTGTCTGTGTATAAAGGCCACCCTGAATTGCTAGCCAAAGGATAAATGCATGACAGGGAATATACTTAGGAAACCATACAATGTGATACCAAGTTACACTAGGGAAACGAAGTCAAATAGACTCCCAAGCATTCCGAACAGAGAAGACTCCATGCACATCATCCACCCATCGCAAGATATCCTCTCTAGTACTATCCGGTCGAAAAGTATCAAGTGTATCTCGCATTAGATCTGACAACACTGGGGAACGAGCTGATGGCCACCTTCAACTATCACCCTCAACAATATCAGGCACCTTAGCTAATCTACTAAATCTAGATTCATGAATGATCCTCTCACCAAGAATCTTCTGTAAAGGGCCAAGAGGATGCCAATTATCAAACCAAAGAGAAGCACGTCTACCGTTACCAATTATAAATTTCAATCTGTCCCTTCCTATCTCTCGAAGTGCAAGAATCTTCCTCCAGTTCCAAGAGCAATCCCCAGGACATTTCAATTCCCAAATGCTTCGGCCTTTAAGTAAGTAACTTCGTTCCCACGAAACCCAAAGAGAAGAGGCAGAATCCGTACAAATGGACCAAAGGTATTTTAACTTAGCAGCCTTATTCCAAATCTCTATGTTCCGCAAACCCAAACCACCCTCCTTCTTAGGCATACAAAGTTTCTCCCATGCTACTTTAGTCCATCCGGTGCCAAGGTCACAACCTTTCTACAAGAAGGCACGTAGAGTAGCCTCCACTTGCTTGATCACAGCCTTAGGTAAAATAAATACGAAAGACCAATATGCCTTAATAGAAAATAACACACAAGGCAAACCACAACCTGCAACAATCAATGAGAGAGTAAAGAAATGTATTTCCTCGATTCTATTGACGATAAAACCACTCTTTAAAAGTGAAATTTGCCTCTGTTTTCCAGGTCTATTTATAATCAAGACTCCAGACCGGTAAAGCATATGTTCTGAATTATCAACAAGTAGGTGTTTCACGTGCAAATGTGGATGATTATTGTGATCACATTTAGAATATCTATGAGTATGCTTTAGATGCAGAATAATTTCAACTTCACATTGAATAATCATCAGCAAAACGAAAATTTCTCAAACATTGTTGAAAAAATAGAATTTTTAAACCCCAAAGAAAAAAAAATCTAAAAAATCTCAAACATGTTTGGTAAAAGAGTTTCTAAAGACCAATTCACCTTGTCCGAGTAGGTTAAGGATTGTTGTTTCCACTGTAAGAAACCAACCAAGATACCAAAATAGTTCTGATGCCAATTATTGTGAAACAAACTACCGAACTGAGATGTTGAAATTATATGGCAAATAATAATAAAGTATTTGATCAAGCGAAAGAATAAAGAAGACAAGAATATGGTAGAGGAATTAAGAGATTTTATTGATTCAAAAATAATGGAGAATAGAGAAAATTACAATAAATCCTATAATTCTAGTAATCTATTTTTTCACATGTAATTGTTACAAAAAAATTGTATAGAAGAGCCTAATATTTATAAGAAATATGTAAGGGATGTCCAAACCTCTTGATAGAGTTGTTGATGAAGTAGGATGCCAAAAAACTGAGTCCAAAATGAAGTAGGAGAGAAAAAATCGCGAACAGGTTACTGTAGCAGCGCTTAGACGCTAGGTTTCGGGTTAATATTCC